AAAATTTAAACAATGAATTTAAAAAACCCTTCAACAACTGTCTGCTGTCTATGAAGACAGTCTACACTCCTGACCGGGAGTTAGCAGGCCTCTCCAACTCAGCTCCTGCCCCCATCCCCAACCCTGACTCTCACCTCTCCTTGCGCTCATCGCTTGTAGTCCCCAAAACACACCAGCTGTCCCCTCCTTGCCTTCAACCATACCATCTCCTCTGCCTGGCTTGCCCTTCCCTTTCCTCCTCACCTTTTATTTTATTTATTTATTTATTTTTTAATAGAGTCTGGCTCTGTTGCCCGGGCTAGAGTGCCGTGGCGTCAGTCTACCTCACAGCAACCTCAAACTCCTGGGCTCAAGTGATCCTCCTGCCTCAGCCTCCCGAGTAGCTGGGACTACAGGCATGCGCCACCATGCCCGGCTTACTTTTTCTATATATATTGGTTGGCCAATTAGTTTCTTTCTATTTTTAGTAGAGACAGGGTCTCGCTCTTGCTCAGGCTGGTCTCGAACTCCTGACCTTGAGCGATCCTCCCGCCTCGGCCTCCCAGAGTGCTGGGATTACAGGAATGAGCTACCGCGCCTGGCCAGTTTATGACGTCTTAAATGCTTGCATCATCCCACAAGTCCAAACTCTGAGCATCTGGGACTCCTCGCGAACTGTTCTTCACTTCCACTAAGTCATGAGAAAAACAGCGACCATTGTTTGCTTTCTAGACACCAGAATTGCACTCAGCATTTTACACCCATCACTGCCAAAGTCATCTCTATCTTACAGCTGAGGAAACTGAGAGGCAAACCCACTTCTCCAAGGCCACACAGCTCGGCAGGGCAGAGTGGAGATGGTAAGTCCTCTGCTCTTAGCCTCCAATCCCACACAGCCTCCTCCAGCCCTTAGCCAGGCTTTAGCTGGAGTCCCTAACCCAGCAGCGAACTTCCCTGTGGCTACCTTCACCCGGATCTACCTGGGACTGGATGTGTGATCTCTGAGCCAGTCATTTTCATTTTTCTTTTTTTTTTTTAAGACTAGTCTCTTAGCACTCTGGGAGGCTGAAGCGGGCGGATTGCTCAAGGTCAGGAGTTCAAAACCAGCCTGAGCAAGAGCAAGACCCTGTCTCTACTATAAATAGAAAGGAATTAATTGGCCAACTAATATATAGAGAAAAAATTAGCTGGGCATGGTGGCACATGCCTGTAGTCCCAGCTACTTGGGAGGCTGAGGCAGCAGGATTGCTTGAGCCCAGGAGTCTGAGGTTGCTGTGAGCTAGGCTGATTCCACGGCACTCACTCTAGCCTGGGCAACAAAGCGAGGCTCTGTTCAAAAAAAAAAAAAAAAAAAAAAAGACTAGTCAAGTGCAGGAATGAGGAGAGGGAAAGTACCAGAACAAAGAGTTCCATCTGTAACTGACTGTGAACAATCACGTGAGATAACTCACTACCTTCGGACCAGCCAGAGGAAGTTATTTTCCTTTCCTTTCCTTCCCTCCCCTCCCTCCCTCCTCCCTTCCCTTCCCTTCCTCTCCCTCCCCTTCCCCTTCTTCCCTTCCTCTCCTCTCCTCTCTCTTCTTTTCTTTCTTTTCTTTTTTTTCTTTTCTTTTTTTCTTTTCTTTTCTTTTCTTTTCTTTTCTTTTCTTTTCTTTTCTTTTCTGACAGAGTCTCACTCTGTTGCCCTGGCTACAGTGCCGTGGCATCAGCCTAGCTCACAGAAACCTCCAATTCCTGGACTCAAGTGATCCTCCTGTCTCAGCCTCCTGAGTAGCTGGGACTGCAGGCATGTGCCACTATACTTGGCTAGTTTTTTCTATATATTTTTGTTTGTCTAGCTAATTTCTTTCTATTTTTAGTAGAGATGGGGTCTCACTTTTGCTCAGGCTGGTTTTGAACTCTTGATGTTGAGCGATCCTCCCTCCTCAGCCTCCCAGAGTGCTAGGATGACAGGCGTGAGCCACCACGCCCAGCCTCTTACTTTCTTCTGAACGGAATGATCTTGCTGAAAGAGTTGTTCTAGGAGCCCCACAGGACTGAAAGAGATACTTCAAATCAACTTATCAGATGGCCCCAGTCCCCCATTGTACAAATGAGGAAACTGAGATTTAAACTACTCATAAGAGCTCTGGCACCTGTCCTGGTGTCACTCTATTAAGCAAAGTGAATCAGTCACTTATCCAGAGAATTCAGAAGTCTCTGAACAAAATGGAACAAACTGCTAAACTGTCGCCTTTGTGCAGGAGAGCAAAGGAAAGTGCCCTGGACCAGAAGTCCGGAGACCCAGGCCTTAGACCTAGTTCCCTCCCTTACTGGCTGTGTGACTTTGGAAAAACCCTTCCCTCCTCCATGCTCAGTTTCCTTTCTCTCAAACTGGGGGGAGGGAGGATTTGAAAGAGCTGATCTCTAAGACCCAGGAAATCCTGCGATTACATGGGGGTGGCAGACAGCTCATCAAATCCCAAGATTAAACCCACATGGATTACAGAGAATTTGAAGTCCAAGAGATCAGCAACTCATCTGCAGACTCCAAATTAAGGCTGAGGAATTGGGGGTTCCAGCTGAGCATATATTCTTTCCAGCTTGCCTTTGGAAGAAAAATAGAATGAAGTACATAATAATACCGTGTTTCCCCGAAAAGAAGACAGGGTCTTATGTTTGTTTTTCCTCAAGAAGACACCCTAGGGCTTATTTTCAGGGCATGTGTTATTTTTTTAAGGATGGTACAACCATCTACATTGATTCAAATACAGTGAAGTCGTCTTCTGGAACATCATCCTCACTCTCCAAACCCCGAATCCCATCCTGAATGTCTTGTGACTCTGTTTCCTTTAGCACCACCGGCCCCGATCTCTCCTGCCGAGCACTAGAGCTGTCACGGGGCGGAGGAGAAGGGCTGCTCGTGTTCTTTCCCGCACCGCGACGACACGCACGGGTTGTGCAGACGCTGCGCAGCCACGCCCGTCGCTAGGGCTGATTTTCGGGGCGGGGCTTCTATTGTGCACATGCTTAGACATCCTCCTAGGGCTTATCTTATGGGTAGGTCTTATTTTCGGGGAAACACGGTATCACCTCTCTGGGTACCACAGAGAAATACAGACCGATATCCCCCACATCCTAAAATTCTCCTTTCTCACCCTCTTCAAAGAATCCTAAAAGATCTACATCTAAGTTGAGTAGGGGGGCAGATGGATTTGAAACAAGCTCATTATGTCTACTTCTATACATACACTGCCTTCTTCAAAACAGTCCTTTTAGGAGTTTGGGCAATTCTTCAAACAAGGCAGTAATTCCTCCCTGCGTTTGTAAAAGCCGTCCTCTTTGGGGAAGCAGACCAGCCACATGACTTTGTCCTCACACTTTGGCTTCCATCCCAAGTGACAATTCTCAATTTGTTCATCCATTGAATTATCTACACTTGACCCTGGCGGTTTCCAGCCATTTCCAAAAGTTACATTCCTCCTTTAAAAGATGGAGTTTTCCCTTCAGTGAAGATACTCAAGAGAATACACCAAGCCAATTGCCACAAAGCTTTGAGCAGTGAAATCCTCAGCAAGCGATATAACACCTCCCGGGCCGGGACACTTGTTGAATGTCCTGAGGTGCTTATTTTTAAAAACAGTCTCCACTGCATGATTATCACATTTTCCCTTCTATTTCTCATCCCTGCAAGGCCTCAAACTTTTTTCTAGCCTTCAGCAGCCCTCTTCCCCCATCCCTCCCATCCCCAGGGCCCACCTTCCCCAGCCCGACTCCCTTCCCTGCCAGCAATTAGGCAAATGCCCAAAAGTTGCTGAGTCTTTAAAATCTGCCTTCGATTGAATTGATCAAAAGGTGGGTGGAAGCGGGGAATGCTAATGGATCCTGGAACTGTCTCAGCATTTCTCATTCCCAAAAGGGCCCTCTCTGGTTCTTAGCCAAATGGAGGGTCCCAGGAACCCATTCCCGCTGGGCATGGTAGCAGAACCCTTCCTGCTATGGAGTGGGAAGAGTGGAGACCTGCCTTCCACAGACCCACGCTGGCGGGTGCTGCCGGCCCCCACATCTCAAACGCTGGCTAGGCACTGCAGACTACCTCTGCTCCTTACTCATCACAGTGCTCTAGAGATTGCAAGATACTCTTCCATTTGTCCTGTGTTACAGACGAGGAACCCAAGCCTCAGACAAGCAAAGTGAGACACTTTGATTATATCAGCAAACTAAAGGTCCAAGGTCAGATCCCTTGCCTCCCCATCTCACACTTTCTTCAACATAACAGAAATCAGTTGTACCTAGAGTGACCCCTCATTCAGATAAATATTTCCCCGAAGACAGCCAAAAAAGAGACCCTTGGAGATGCTGACATCATGCTAAACCATCAATAAATGCAGTCCTCATGAGTGGATTAATAAAATGTGGCACGTGTACACCATGGAGTACTATTCAGCTATAAGAAACAACGGTGATAGAGCACCTCTTGTATTTCCTGGCTAGAGCTGGAGCCCATCCTACTAAGTGAAGTCTCCCCAGAATGGAAAAACAAGCACCACATGTCCTCACCGGCAAATTGGTATGAACTGATCAACACCTCAGTGGACATAGAGGAATAACACCTATCGGGTGTCGGGCAGGTGGGAGGGGGAGGAGGGGATGGGCATATACAAACATAATGAGTGAGATGCGCACCCCATCTGCGGGATGGACAGGCTTGAAGCTCTGACTCGAGGGCAGACGGGGGTGGGGGGGGGAAAGGGCAATATACGTAACCTTAACATTCATATCCCCATAATATGCTGAAATAAAAAACAACCTAAAAATGTAAATAAATGCAGTCCGCTCATATCCAAGCACACAGACCCAACCGCCCAATTCTAAGTCTCTGCTCCCTTGCCCTAAGCTCTCTCTGTCTCTGTCTCATCAAACCTCCTCCCCAGTGGCTGCTGAGGGTCACAGCCAAGGAAGCGGGTGTCTTTAACACAGAGGGGAGCCCCCTCCCCCCGTACCTTACCCCGGGGGTGCCGCCCACGCCCCCCGTCCCCTACCTGCCAGCAGCTGCATCCAGGCGCAGATCTTGTAGACCGTGGCCGTGTTGCAGAAGAAGAAGAGCGAGAAGCAGGTGATGCAGCCGAGGATCAGCACCATGGAGAGCAGCACGAAGAAGGCGGCCGCCTTGAAGGCGCCGGACGGGATGGTGCTGAAGTCGGTGAAGGAGCCGCGGCAGGTGAGCTCGCGGCCAGCCAGCCCGCTGCCCACGCAGTAGTGGAAGAGGCCGAAGTAGCCGGGCTTGGGGGTGCTCACGCTGTCGCCCACCCAATAGGGCTGGATGAAGACCACCACGTTGATGATGGCGAAGCAGATGGTGAAGATGGCCCACAGCACGCCGATGGCCCGCGAGTTCCTCATGTAGTGCTCGTGGTAGAGCTTGGAGGCCTCCTGCGACGGCAGCATGGTGCCGCGGGCGGGGCCGGCGGCGGGCTGGGGCTGGCGGGGCCGCCGTCCCGGGACGGGGCGCGAGCTGTGGAGAAGTGGCCCGGGGTAAAGGCACTCGCGAGCCTGGGGCGCAGCTGGGAGGCCCCCCGGGGGGAGGGCTGAGATGGGGAACACAGGACGGAGCTGGGGGGACCAGGGGGGCTGAGATGGGGAACACAGGACGGAGCTGGGGGGACCAGGCGGGCTGAGATGGGGAACACAGGGCTGAGCTGGGGGGCCTGGCATGGGGGGCTGAGATGGGGAACACAGGACTGAGCTGAGGGGTGGGAGGGGTGAGATGGGGAACACAGGACTGAGATGGGGGGCCCAGGGTGGGGGGCTGAGATGGAGAATACAGGACTGAGCTAGGGGTCCCGAGGTGGGGGGCTGAGATGGGGAACACAGGACTGAGATGGGGGGCCCTGGGTGAGGGGCTGAGATGGGGAACACAGGACTGAGATGGGAGGCCCGGGGGGGGGGCTGAGACGGGGAATACAGGACTGAGCTGGGGGTCCCGGGGTGGGCTGAGATGGGGAACACAGGACTGAGCTGAGGGGTGGGGGGGCTGAGATGGACACAGACTGACTGGTCCGGGGTGGGGCTGAGAGGGAACACAGACTGAGCTGAGGGTGGGGGGGGCTGAGATGGGAACACAGGATGGAGGCGGGCCCGGGGTGGGGAGCGAATAGGAACACAGACTGAGCGGGGGCCCGGTGGGGGCTGAGATGGGAACACAGACTGGCTAGGGGGCTTGAGGGGCTGAGATGGGGAACACAGGACTGGCTAGGGGGCTTGAGGGGGCTGAGATGGGGAACACAGGACTTAGCTGGGGGCCCAGGGGGCTGAGATGGGAACACAGGACTGGAGCTTGGGGCCTAGGGGGGCTGAGATGGGGAACATAGGACTGAGCTGGGGGGTCAGGGGGGCTGAGATGGGGAACACAGGACTGAGCTGGGGGGGCCCAGGGTGGGGGACTGAGATCAGGAACACAGGGCTGAGATGGGGAACACAGGGCTGAGCTAGGGGGCCCAGGGTGGGGGACTGAGATGGGAAACACAGGGCTGAGATGAGGAACACAGGACTAAGGTGGGGGGCCTGGGAGGACTGAGATGGGGAACACAGGACTGAGTCGGAGACCCGGGGTGGGGGACTGAGATGGGGAACACAGGACTGAGCTGGGAGGCCTGGGGGGGCTGAGATGGGGAACACAGGACTGAGCTGGGGGGGCCTGGGGGGACTGAGATGGGGAACACAGGACTGAGCTGGGGGACCTGGGGGTGGCTGAGATGGGGAACACAGGACTGAGCTGGGGGGTCTGGGGGGACTGAGATGGGAAACACAAGACTGAGCTGTGGGGCCTGGGGGTGCTGAGATGGGGAACACAGGACTGAGCTGGGGGACCCGGGGTGGGGGGCTGAGATGGGGAACACAGGACTTAGCTGGGGGCCCCAGGGGGGCTGAGATGGGGAACACAGGACTGAGCGGGGGGGCCTGGGGGGGCTGAGATGGGGAACACAGGACTGAGCTGGGGGACCCGGGGTGGGGGGCTGAGATGGGGAACACAGGACTGAGTTGGGGGACCTGGGGTGGGAGGGTGAGATGGGGAACACAGGACTGAGCTGGGGGCGGGGGCTGAGATGGGGAGGTCAGGAGGGGGTCACGAGTGTCCGGGAGCGGTGTCTGAGGCACAGGCAGAGCCCTCCTGTTGGGGGCCATACGAAGGGGCCATGGGAAAGTTGAGGGGGGCCTGGGATGAGGATACGGGATGTGGAAGTAAGGGGGGGCCTGAAAGTGGCCATAGGGGGTTAGGGAGGGGCCTGGGGGCAGAGGTGCCATGGGGAGGCAGCAGATCGTGTTGGAGGATGAGCAGAGGGGCTGGATAATGCGGAGCCCAGAAGGGAATTTGGGGGGCTGGTGTTGGAGGTGGAAGGAGATCCGGTGTTGGGGGTCTAGAAAGGGGCTACAAGGCCGGGGAGGAGGGAACGAGGGGAGACAGGGGTCAGCACTGAGGATGAGGAAGGCGAGATGGGGGCTGGGGCAGGGAGTGGGGCCGGCAGCAGCGTCCAGAGGGCAAAGCAGCGGGACGGGGATCGAGCTCGAGGGGGCCGGGGCTGCAGCTGCCGGACCGGGGCGGGGGCAGGGTGTCCCCAGGAGCCAGGGCTGGGTGCAGGCTGGGGGCGGGGGCTCTCTGGGCCGAGCGGAGGCAGGACCAGGGCGGGCGGCGCTGGGGACGGTGCTGTCCCCGGGGCGCGGGCAGCGGCGGGCCCCGCAGGGCCGGGCTGGGGGTGCAGCGCCCCGCGCCCAGGCCAGACGCGCGCGGGGGCGGCGGGGACACGGCGCCGGGGGACCAACCTGGGCCCGGGCGGGGACGGCGGGTCCGGGGCGGGCTCGGCCTAGGCGCCGCGGCTCTGCTCTCCCGGCGGCGGCTGCCTCGGCCCAGGCGGCGGCCTCCGCGCGGCCTCCATCTTGCTCGGGCTCTCCCCGGGGCGCGCTCCCGCGCCGAGGCGCGCGCTCCCGTGCACTGGCGCGGCCCGGCTGAGGCGCGCTCCCGCGCAGGCGGCCCGGGGGAGGGGCGCTCTTGGTCCTGGAGGTCCGGGGAGCAGGTGCGCACGGGCCCCGGGGCCCCCTCCGTGGCAGGGCCCTGCGATTTTGGGGGGCTCCCTTCTTGCAGCCCGAGGGGTGGTCCCCACTGTGTCAGTGAAAATGGGGCTCTGGCCAACCGGGACATCATCTGGCAGGAGAACTGCGTCTCTCGCTCCCGAATTCCCTCCTCTGCAACCTCTCCGCTTCAGCGCCTGGAGTCGAACCATTGCGCTCCCAGCCCTTTGGGTCTTGCAAGTGCTGAAGGTTCCCCGAGTCTCCTAGGAAACTGCCAGCACCCCTGGGAAAGGGAGCCCCCTAAGCTGTAGCAGCCCACACCTGCCGTGAAGATTCATCGGCCACCAGCGCAAGAAGTGGGGGCCTGAGGAACAAGGCACGCAGGGTGAGTAGAAGGGGAATAGGGCAGAACGGGCCAGGAAATGGTTGGTTTCCCGCCCCACGCTCTCCCCAGCGGCCTCCACCGTAAAGGTGTGTTGAGGATCAAATCATCCATCTCAAGGGGCCTGGTGAGGCCACAGAGCACCCCGAGGGAGCCAGTTTGGGTCATTTCTTTCCCTGTGGTGAAAAGAGCCTTTGGCTTGGATGATGTGGGTTGGAACCCAGACAAACTGTAAACAGCACTGTCTCTTTGACCTTGCACTCCTGCTCTCTGAACTTGTGTTCACCAGTAAAGGAGGCAGATTAAGCCCCACTTCATTGGTGTAAGTATGTTGGGGGAGGTGGAGGTGTGAAAAACAATCCATGTTTGTGGGGCCCAAGCGCTGTACCCCACCCAGGGGTCGATCTGTCAAAATCTATGTCTATCTGCCAAGAAGTATGCACGATGGCCAGCTGTTGCTCTTCCAGGGAGCCAGAGGACTGATCTTTTTTTTCTTAGATTGTGTACTTCCTACTTTTTTTTTTTTTTTTTTTTTTTCACTCTGTTGCCTGGGCTAGAGTACTGTGGTGTCAGCCTAGCTCACAGCAACCTCAGATTCCTGGGCTCAAGTGATCCTCCTGCCTCAGCCTCCCGAGTAGCTGGGACTACAGGCATGCACCATGCCCGGCTAATTTTTTCTATATATATTAGTTGGCCAATTAATTTCTTTCTATTTATAGTAGAGACGGGGTATCGCTCTTCCTCAGGCTGGTTTTGAACTCCCGACCTTGAGCAATCCACCCGTCTCGGCCTCCCAGAGAGCTAGGATTACAGGCGTGAGCCATCGCACCCGGCCATAATTTCTTTCTATTTTTATTAGAGCTGGGGGTCTCTCTTTCACTCAGGCTGGTTTCGAACTCCTGACTTTGATCTGCCTGCCTCAGCCTCCCAGAGTGCTAGCATTACAGGCGTGAGCCACTGCACCCAGCCGGTTGTTGTTGTTGTTGTCGTTGTTGTTTTTAATGTCCTTATTTGGCAAAACAAAAAATAGGCAGCCTTATTCCAACGCCGAATTTTTATGACAATTATGGATTCATGAAATCCCACAATTTGGAGATCTCAGACCCACGTGAATCGATCTCATCTTGGGCCCAAACACAAGAAGCTCAATAAATTTGGTTTCCACCTTCCACTGGTTCCTTGCAGGGGGTATCCTGGCTTCTCCTGAGAAGTCTGCCATCCTGGAATCATGGGTCTTTGGAGAAAGTCTCATTCTATATATACCTTCTCCCACCTTTCGGGTGGAGAACCAAAGAAGAAGAGGATTGGCTTATCCAGATGGGTGGGTGGACTCTGCCTATCAAACTGATCAACTTGATTCATTAATCTACTCATCCATCCAGGAAATACGTGTGGACCCCTGTGGTGTGCCGGGCACAGGCTCTGTGCTAGGCACTGGGGTGCAGGTGGAGAGTAAAACGGGCATGCTGACTGCCTTGAGCTCACCTGGAGCTCACAGCTTCATGGGGAAATGAAAGGCCGTAGGAAGAGGAGCGGGCGAGTGGCCATCCTCAAAGAGCATCTCAAGGCCGGGCACGGTGGCTCACGCCTGTCATCCTAGCACTCTGGGAGGCTGAGGCAGAAGGATCACTCAAGGTCAGGAGGAGTTCGAAACCAGCCTGAGCAAGAGCGAGACACCGTCTCTACTAAAAATAGAAAAAAATTAATTGGCCAACTAAAAATATTTATAGAAAAAAATGAGCCAGGCATGGTGGTGCATGCCTATAGTCCCAGCTGCTCAGGAGGCTGAGGCAGGAGGATCACTTGAACCCAGGAGTCTGAGGTTGCTGTGAGCTAGGCTGATGCCACAGCACTCTAGCCCGGGCAACAGAGTGAGACCCTGTCTCAAAAAAAAAAAAAAAAAAAAAGAGCATCTCAAAGTCTCCTTCTGTGAGTATTCCTGGTTTGGGTACTGTTCTGAACATATCAAGTTATTCCTTACTCTTTACTCCTTACTCTGCTTGAATTATTGCCTTTTGTTTTTTTTCTCTAGCCTGCTGAGCCAAGCTAGGCAGTCCTGGAAAAAAAAGTTATAAAAGTCCATTTACTACTGTCCCTTAAGGCAAGAAGTGAGAGTTCTTGCTAAGATAGATCCTCAGGTCCCCTGGGGCTACTCTATTCTAGCTCTGCAGAGCAAAGCCACCCTGTAGAGATCGGCCCACCTCTTATACACTTCTGATGACAAGAGTTTTCTTTGAAGAACCTTCTTTATCTCTCACTATGTCTCTGAGTTTGGTGGAGCACGCGCGCGCGCACACACACACACACACACACACCCCATATGCCACTCCAAAGGGTGCAAAGGATCAGACCCAGATAATGAGAATATTCCATTGTCCTGGACACGGTGATGCGTTGATGGGTGACCCATAACCAGGCCAAATGGTTGAGAATGATACAAGGTCATTTGTAGCAGTTTATGGGAAAAAGATGTTCTCTATCTATTGAGTTTGTTGAGCTGGAGGGATTGTAAGCTGCAGCTAGTGGGGGCTGTCTTTGACAACCCAAGCAGAGAGCTTGTCAAAGAATGAGGTCAACAGGTCGGGCGCGGTGGCTGATGCCTGTAATCCTAGCACTCTGGGAGGCCGAGGCGGGAGGATTGCTCGAGGTCAGGAGTTCGAAACCAGCCTGAGCAAGAGCAAGACCCCCTCTCTACTATAAATAGAAAGAAATTAGTTGGCCAACTATTATATATAGAAAACATTAGCCAGGCATGGTGGCGCATGCCTGTAGTCCCAGTTACTCGGGAGGGTGCGACAGGAGGATCGCTTGAGCCCAGGAGACTGAGGTTGCTGTGAGCTAGGCTGACGCCACAGCACTCACTCTAGCCTGGGCAACAAAGGGAGACTCTTTCTCAAAAAAAAAATAAATACATTTATTGAAACCTTAAAATCTGTACCCCCATAATATGCCGAAATAAAAATAAATAAATAAATAATAGAAACAAATTAATTAGCCAACTAAAAATATATAGAAAAAAAATAGCCGGGCATGGTGGCGCATGCCTATAGTCCCAGCAGCTTGGGAGGCTGAGGCAGCAGGATCGCTTGAGCCCAGGAGTTTGAGTTTGGTGTGAGCTAGGGTGACGCCACGACACTCTCTCTAGCCCGGGCAACAAAGTGAGACACTGTCTCAAAAAAAAAAAAAAAATAGAATAAGGTCAACACAAAGGAAGGCTGAGAAATGGAGAGAGAGTTCTGATGACATACTTTGAGCACCTGGATCCATCTATGCCTGAAAACCTAGTTCTGAATTGTTTTGTTAGGGTGAAGCACTAAATTCAATTTTGCTTAAGCCAGTTTGAGTTAGCTTTTTGTCACTTCCAATCAAAACAACTAATCTAGATAACTAACCTATATTCCTTCAAAAAAGACAGCAGTTGCTGGTATACCAGGTTCCTTATATTACAGAAAAAAACACCTGACTAGGTGAGCTACTTCTGACGAATTGAAACAAAAGGACCAGAATTCGAAGCCCATCTCTGCCCCATATTAACTGAGTAAGCCAGGACCACGATACTACTCCTCAGAGCCTTATTTTCTTCATTTGTAAAATGGAAGAAAACACACTTTCTTCCCATGGATGTTGAAAGGATTAAGAGAGAGAATGGATAGAAAAGAGCTTTGCAAACTGGAAAAGGCTATAAGTACAAGTGATTGTCATTAAATTTTAACAATAAGTGATTTGTCCAAAGAATAGAAATAGCAGTAGTATTGGAAATGCACTTGCTGAGCTGTGAGTAGCTAGGACAAGATATGTCCTTTTTTTCTTTTTGAGGCAGAGTCTCACTCTGTTGCCCAGGCTAGAGTGCCGTGGCGTCAGCCTAGCTCACAGGAACCTCAAACTCCTGGGCTCAAGTGATCCTCCTGCCTCAGCCTCCCGAGTAGCTGGAACTACAGGCATGTACCACCACACCCGGCTAATTTTTTTATACATATATTTTTAGTTGACTGATTAATTTCTTTCTATTTTTAGTAGAGACGGGGTCTCGCTCTTGCTCAGGCTGGTTTTGAACTCCTGACCTTGAGCGATCCTCCTGCCTCCGCCTCCCAGAGCGCCAGGATGACAGGCATGAGCCACCGCGCTGGCCAAGGATATGTCCTTATTTCAAACACTAAACTTGGAGCGATCACAGAAAGAAAATTTGAGAACTCTCTGCAGGAAGAACATCTTATTGACCTCAGGGAGAGCCAGGCCAGAACAGAAGAGTCCAGGGGTCAAGATGGGACTGTAGACCCTAATCAGGGATGGTGCTGGGTCGCACCTGGGTGAGAAGAGAAGAGAAGCCCCAGGGCACTTCTAGCCAATATCCTCGCCAGGAAAGATGTGCAAATTGCTGGATACCCTTATGCCTATGTTCAGTGGTCAGTTATGTCTGACAGTTATTAAGCTCTTATTGCATTCTCAGTCCCATTATCAGTGTTAGTGTTAGTGTTAGGGTTAGGGTTTTGGTTAGCATTAGGATAGGATTAGAGTTAGTGTGTTAGGGTTACTGTTAGTCTTACGGTTAGGGTTGCCTATGGAACTTCTTTAGGAGGTTCTTATTGCAGAACTTAAGACAGAACTTACTGTATCTTATGTGTATTCAATAGGAAACTCTATACACTGCTTCAATTGCATGTATTGTCTCATTTAATCTTCATAGTCACTCTGTGAGGAAGTGTCATCAGCTGAGTTGGATCCCCAAGAAAATTCACGTGTTGATGCCCTAACCCCCAGCACCTCGGAATGTGACTGTATCTGGAGACAGGGCCTTTAGAGAAGTGATTAAGTTAAAACGAGGTCATTGCCGGGTGCGGTGGCTCACGCCTGTAATCCTAGCACTCTGGGAGGCCGAGGCGGGCAGATAGCTCGAGGTCCAGAGTTCGAAACCAGCCTGAGCAAGAGCAAGACTCCGTTTCTGCTATAAAAAATAGAAAGAAATTAATTAGCCAACTAATATATATAGAAAAAATTAGTCGGGCATGGTGGCGCATGCCTGTAGTCCCAGCTACTCGGGAGACTGAGGTAGCAGGATCTCTTGAGCCCAGGAGATTGAGTTTGCTGTGAGCTAAGCTGACACCACGGCACTCACTCTAGCCTGGGCAACAAAGCGAGACTCTGTCTCAAAAATAAATAAATAAATAAATAAATAAATAAATAAAGGCTCTGTATTCCTGCTCAGAAGCAGATGTTGGTAATTTTTTTGTTTTTTTGAGACAGAGTCTCACTGTGTTGCCCAGGCTAGAGTGAGTTCTATGGCATCAGCTTCAATCACAGGAACCTCAGACTCCTGGGCTCAAGCAGTCCTTCTGCCTGAGCCTCCCAAGTCGCTGGGACTACAGGCATGAGCCACCATGCCCAGCTAATTTTTTCTATATATATATATTAGTTGGCCAATTAATTTCTTTCTATTTTTTTAGTAGAGACGGGGTCTCGCTCTTGCTCAGGCTGGTCTTGAATTCCTGACCTTGATCGATCCACCCGTCTTGGCCTCCCAGAGTGCTAGGATTACAGGCGTGAGCCACCCTGCCAGGCCAGGATGTTGGTACTTTAAGACAAATCAAACAAATTGGCTGGGCCGGGTGGCTCATGCCTGTAATCCTAGCACTCTGCTAGGCCCAGGCAGGCGGATTTCTTGAGTTCAGGTGTTCGAAACCAGCATGAGCAAGAGCGAGACCCCGTCTCTACTATAAATAGAAACAAATTAATTGGCCAACTAATATATATATAGAAAAAAATCAGCAGGGCGTGGTGGCACATGCCTGTAGTCCCAGCTACTTGGGAGGCTTAGGCAGTAAGATTGCTTGAGCTCAGGAGTCTGAGGTTGCTGTGAGCTAGGCTGACGCCACGGCACTCACTCTAGCCTGAGCAACAAAGCGAGACTCTGTCTCAAAAAAAAAATAAAAAAGACTAGTCTTACCTGGATAGATATCTAGATTTAAAATAAAGACAAAAACAACAAAAAGATGAATAAAATATAATTATTAAAAAAAGACCAGTCTACCATCCTTCTCCTTTGCCTGCAAATTAATAAACTTCTCTTTCCTTCCCCTCAAACCACCTGCTCTTGTTCTTCTGATATGGCCTTGGAGACAAGTACTGAGCTTTCACTCTGGGAGGCCGAGGCGAGTGAATCGCTCAAGGTCAGGAGTTCAAAACCAGCCTGAGCAAGAGCGAGACCCCATCTCTACTATAAATAGAAAGAAATTAATTGGCCAAATAATATATATAGAAAAAAATCAGCCAGGCATAGTGGCACATGCCTGTAGTCCCAGCTACTTGGGAGGCTGAGGCAGTAGGATTGCTTGAGCTCAGGAGTTTGAGGTTGCTGTGAGCTAGGCTGACGCCACGGCACTCACTCTAGCCTGGGCAACAAGGCGAGACTCTGTCTCAAAAACAAAAACAAAAAAGTCCTGAGCTTTCAGTAACATTAAGTTAAATCATTGTAAGCCACACATTTTTTTTTTTTTTTTGTCAATTGCATGTTCAACCTGGTCCTTTTAAAGTATTTTTGTCCACTGTTAATTGCTTTATTCTGATACTTGTTTTTTCTAAAAGCTCCTTGCAAATCCTAAAGTGTTGTATCTTCTAGGAGGCTCACGGAAAGGATGAAAAGACTCTGACAGGCACTCTGAAATACAGGCCTTTGCTTGTGACTTTGAGATCATACCACTGGACTAGGTAAGAATTCCAAAAACTACGACAACGATAACAACAAAAAACCTAGACTCCTAAAACAGCTAACCTAACATCAAGTAGAACAAGAATTAATTGCATAGGACCAAACTGAAGAACTGAAATTATGTTTTATGATTTTTTTTTTAATTTGAAATATTTACTGGTTGTTTTTATGTTTTGTTTTCCAGAGTCAAGAAAGCTGTTTTCTTTTGAGCTAGCTATAGCTTACAACAGTCTGAAATAGTTTGGATATTCGTCACTTCCAAATCCCATGATGGGCCAGGTGCGGTGGCTCACGCCTATAATCCTAGCTCTCTGGGAGGCCGAGGTGGGCAGATTGCTCGAGGTCAGGAGTTGAAAACCAGCCTGAGCAAGAGCAAGACCCCGTCTCTACTATAAATAGAAAGAAATTAATTGACTAACTAATATATATAGAAAAACTCAGCCGGACATGGTGGCGCATGCCTGTAGTCCCAGCTAGGGAGGCTGAGGCAGGAGGATGGCTTGAGCCTAGGAGTTTGAGGTGCTGTCAGCTAGTCTGATGCCACGACACTCACCCTAGCCTGGGCAACAGAGTGAGACTCTGTCTCAAAAATAAATAAATAAATAAATACAAATACTAATAAAATAAATCCCATGATGAAATTTGATCTCATGTTGGATGTGGGGTCTAGTGGGAATTGTTTGAGGTAATGGGGGTGGATCCCTCATGAATGGCTTAGTGCCCTCCTCATGGTAACAGTGAGTTCTTGTACTTTTTTTTTTTTTCTTGAGACAGTCTCAATCTTTGCCCAGGTTAGAGTGCTGTGGCGTCAGCCTAGCTCACAGCAACCTCAAAATCCTGGGCTCAAGTGAGCCTCCTGCCTCTGCCTCCTGAGTAGCTGGGACTACAGGCATGCACCACCATGCCTGGCTAATTTTTTCTATATATTTTTAGTAGGCCAATTAATTTTTTTCTATTTTTAGTAGAGATAAGGTTTCGCTTTTACTCAGGCTAGTCTCAAACTCCTGAGCTTTAGGGATCCTCTGGCCTCAGCCTACCAGAGTGCTAGGATTACAGGTGTGAGCCACCTGCCGAGTTCTTGTTCTATTAATAGCCATGAGTGCTGATTGTTAAAAAGAGCCTTGCACTTCCCTCCCTTCTCCCCTGCTTCCCTGTGCTCACCATGTGATCTCTACATGCACCACCTGTTTGCCTTCTCTTTGCCTCCCACATGAGTGGACACAGCCTGAGGCCCTCCCCAGAGACAGTTGCTGACACCCGGCTTCATGTACAGCGTGTAGAACCTCGAGCCAATAAAACCTCTTTTCTTTACAAATTACCCAGCCTCAGCTATTCCTTTATAGCAACACAAACAGATACTGAAATAGCAATTAGGTGGAGTCTATTTGGGTGAGCAAAATTGAGACAGTTTGCTTTCTTTCTACCTGATTTCCCCAAAATTCAGAAAATATTCATAAATATTCTTTATTTTTATTATTATTATTATTTTTTTTTTATTTTTTTTTTTTTTGAGACAGAGTCTCACTTTGTTGCACAGGCTAGAGTGAGTGCCGTGGCGTCAGCCTAGCTCACAGCAACCTCAATCTCCTGGGCTCAAGCAATCCTTCTGCCTCAGCCTCCTGAGTAGCTGGGACTACAGGCATGCGCCACCATGCCCGGCTAATTTATATATATATATATAGTTGGCCAATTAATTTCTTTCTATTTATAGTAGAGACGGGGTCTTGCTCTTCCTCAGGCTGGTTTCGAACTCCTGACCTCGAGCAATCCGCCCGCCTCGGCCTCCCAGAGTGCTAGGATTACAGGCTTGAGCCACCGCGCCCGGCCATTATTATTATTTTTTGAGACAGAGTCTCACTCTGTCGCCCGGGCTAGAGTGCCATGGCATCAGCCTAGCTCACAGCAACCTCAAACTCCTGGGCTCATGTGATCCTCCTGCCTCAGCCTCCCGAGTAGCTGGGACTACAGGCAGCGCCACCACGCCCGGCTAATTTTTTCTATATATTTTTAGTTGGTCAACTAATTTCTTCCTATTTTTAGTATAGATGGGGGGTCTCGCTCTTTCTCAGGCTGGTCTTGAACTCCTGAACTCAAACCATCCACCCGTCTTGGCCTCCCAGAGTGCTAGGATGACAGGCGTGAGCCTGGCCTCTTAAGTATTCTTAATTTGTAAAATATAGTTATTTCCATAAGTGCACTAAGAATGTTTTCTATTATAACAGGACAAAATTGGAAAACTGGTTATTTTTACCAAGTCTTTGACTAGGATGTCATATTTTTATAGATGACAAGGCTGCTTTGAGGGTTTGAGGTTGACTTTATAAAGCAAATAGACTTGGAAAGAGACTGGCCAGGTAACTCATCACATAGCTCCCTCACAGGGCTCTTGACCTTGTGGTGAGTAAAGAGCATCACTTTCTGACAAGCCCAGGAAACTGAAGACATTTTGGGGACCTTGAGAAAAGAGAGTCATCCAATCCCTATGAGTATTATAGGCATGGTCATGGGATGGCAAATCCTTCACTTGGTTTCCTTCCCTCAAGAGGCTTTTCAAAGTCTAATCTGAGATTCTTTTTGAACACATTCCATCCAAGCCAATTTGAAAACAGCCTATATGACCAATCACAGTTCTTGCTGCACTTTAGATAAGTAATTGAGCCATGCATAATAAGACTAAAACTGATTTTGCAAATAAACTGGTCTTATTATGATGTATCTTTGGTAGAAAAGGGGGACCAGAGAGAAAAAATAATTATGTTCCAGAAGAAACTATAGTACACCTACTATTAGAGTCTAGCCCTCACCATTGTTTTTGACTTTTTTATTATTTGCCTACAATTTGGACTGAATCCTGAATTCTCTCTCTGGGACTGTAAGACTCCAAATGAATGTTTGCAATTCTTTCTTTTTTCCGTTGTGGACTCACTGAAATGGCAACTACCCTTTCCCTAAGGCTCTGCAAACTGAAGCTCTTATATAAACAACTTTGTGCCGTTGTCTACCTCCACTTTAACTACAGATGCTTTGAGTTTAACATCTGGACACCTCAACTGACTGCCCTCTGGAGTCTGAGGAAACTGGTTGATAGACTATTATCACAAACATCACCTGTTTTTCTTTTATTTGAGAGCAGGTGTGCAACGCCATCTTCTGCAATGAGATATAGCTGCTTAAGTGGACTGGCCTATTCCCAGATATGGGAGACCGGTTTAATGGGACCCTTTGCCACTGCACTATTAACTTGATTTTTCTCTCCCCAGACATCAACTCAGCTTTTAGTGTGTGATACTTCAAAGGAAGTTTCAGAGCAGGGGAATAATGGAGCACAAAAAATGAGCCCCCAAAATATGTTGCTTAGGCATGCAGAGTTCTTTCGAAAATGGAAAGGCCTCGGAAATCAGCCCCAGAATCAAAAGTCCTTCTAACCTTGCCTCCTCAGCACACGGGAGGAGTGTCTCCGCAATTTCCTTCTTACCAAAAGAAACACAGTTGCCTTCTATCCCCTCCCTGAAATCTCACTTATCTAGTGCAAAAAGGAAGAGGAGAATGCAACCACACCTTGGATGGTTTTTTTTTTTTCACCAGATGATGTCTGCATCTGGGGCTCATTCAAATTCTAGAGAATCATTTACAAGTTAATTTCTGTCTCCCTAGTCCATTCCTTCTCCGTAATAATCATTTACTGCCCCTCAAATAAAGTCTATATTCCCCATCTCCTCCCTCCACTATAAGAGTATATAAGCTTCTGTATCTGCCCCCCTAGGGGGCTGGAGCAATCACTTTGTGACCCCTCCCATGCACACTGGCGAATTTGTTTGCCTTTTTTCCTACTAATCTGCCTTCTGTGGGTTATTTTCTTGTGAACCCTGAGAGGATGAAGGGGAAGTTTGTTCTTTGCCTCGAGACATTTTGCAGATCTCTCCTCCCAATTTATGACTCATCTTTTCATGCTCTTAACAGTGTCTTTTGTAAGAACAAAGTTCCTAATTGGTTTTTTTTTTAAATTTGTTTTTCTTTTTTTAGGGACAGGTTCTCATTATGTTGCCCAGGCTGGCCATAAACTCCCAAGTAGCTGGGACTACCAGTGCATGCCACTGTGCCTGGCTTAGTTCTTAATTTTGATGAAGTTCAATTTATCATTTTTTTTCTTTTATGGGTTATGCTTTTTATATAATATCTAAAAATGTGTGGCTTAACCTTGTTAACCTTGTGGGACCTTGTTTAGATCAAGAGTCTGAGACCTTATCTCTACAATAAATAAAAAAAGCATGGCGGCTGGTGGGTTAGGTATGTTTATGACCTTGTGGGTTTTTTGGTGTGTGTGTGTGTTTAAGGATGAGTGTCTGTTGGCGATAAATTCTTCAGTATTCACAGATGTAATAACGGGATGTCTGGGATTTGCTTTAAAATAATTCCCGGGATGGGCCAGGCGAGGTGGCTCTTGGCTGTAATCCTAGCACTCTGGGAGGCTGAGGCGGGAGGACTGCTCGAGGTCAGGAGTTCGAGACCAGCCTGAGCAAGAGCGAGACCCCATCTCTACTAAAAATAGAAAGAAATTAATTGGCCAACTAATATATATAGAAAAAATTAGCCGGGCCTGGTGGCGCATGCCTGTAGTCCCAGCTACTCAGGAGGCTGAGGTAGGAGGATCGCTTAAGCCCAGGAGTTTGAGGTTGCTGTGAGCTAGGCTGACGCCACGGCACTCTAGCCCGGGCAACACAGTGGGACTCTGTCTCAAAAAAAGAAAAGAAAACAAGAGTAAGGGGCTTTTCCTAACAGAATTTGAAACCTGCCCCTTTAGCTCCCTGACTCCCAGTTTCTTCCTCAATAAAACAGCTCGATGACACGATGCGTTTCCTGACAGGGACGCTGTGAGGCGCGTGTGAGGAAGGCGCTTTATGAAATGCTGTTCTATTCATTAGACACCTTTGTCATCACAGTTACCAATGCTGACATATTGCCCTCGAGCGTTCCTCTTCTGGTTCTTCCCAATGGTTCTTTCCTCCCGGTCCCTCCCGGCCGTCGATGGTTCCGCCCAGCTTCCTCCGGGGAAACCCCGCGAGGCGGAGCACCGGGGGACACCGGTCTCGGCGCCCACTTGGATCGCTCCGCACCGGAGGTGGGCCGCGCGTGAATCCCGGGTTCCGATTGGCCAGAGCGGGAGTAAACATCCGGCTGGCATGGGGCGTGGCCGGAAGTGGAAGGAGCCGGCGGTGGCTGAGTCGGTTCGCGCGGCTCCGGGAGCTCGAGTCTGCCCCGCCAGGTGCCATGGGCCGGCCAGAGTCTCGCTGAGGGGACGCGGGTTGGGCCATGGCCGGCACTCGGGCTGCCTCCGCCGCCTCGGCGGGGTCCTCGGCGTCTTCTTCCGGCAATCCGCCGCCTCAGGAGCCGGGGCTCGGGGAGCTGCTGGAGGAGTTCTCCCGGACTCAGTACCGGGCCAAGGACGGCAGTGGGGCCAGCGGCTCTAAGGTGAACCCAGAGGCGCGGTGAGCTGGAGAAGGCCCCGGACTCAGCGGGTTACGGAGTAAAGACCGAGGTCAAGGGTCGGAGGAATGTAGGAGGAGGACTTTCCTGCTGAGGAATGGGAGCCAGAGGGGAGTCCTCCAGGGCTTGGGATCCGAGAGTGAGGATCGGGCTTAAAAACCGTAAAAAGAGGAACTAGGGTGAGCCCAGCGAAGAGGCTCTTTCTGTTTTGAGGCGAGGTGTTTGGAGGTCAGGGATCATAGAGCTGAGGGCCCAGGTTCAAAGGTTAGAAAGGAGGAACTGAGAAAGTTGTTATTCCCCTGCTTGAGCTGTCTTCGGAAGGGTCGTGTCTGGGCGAAAAGCCCCCAGAACTAAGTAAAGATAGATGATTCCTCTGGGTCAGAGGTCAGAATGGAGCCAGGAGATAGATGAACCCAGTGCAGTGGATTGCCTCCTTACAAGGTTGCTGCACGACTTGGGCCCATCCCTTTCCTTCCCCTGTAGAACAGGAAGACGGCCCACACTGCCTCTCAGTTTCTTATCAAAAGCAGGTTTCAGATCCTCTTTTCCCTGACACGCCCCCCCCTTGAGATTCCCCCTCAGTCGTCTTATCGCCAGACCTGGAAGGCTTCTGCTGTGGTCAGACTGTTCTCACCCTAAGCACTGAATCTCAGTGATCCTGCCATTTCTTATTCCCCCACATGGATTTGGCAGCTTTAGGTTTTTCTAATGGGATTCTGCTCCATCCTGGGCCACGCAACTGATTTGGCGGCAGAAGTTACCTGCTCTGGGATATGCTGTAGTGGGCATCTGCTAGTTTTTAGGTAATACAGGGAAGACTTCAGTAAGGCTGGAGGTTCCCCACTATCCAAATGACCAAGTATTTTTCAGAGCATGGTCTGGGGTACTTTTTAAAAATAAAGATTCCTTAGTCCCACCAGTCCTACTGAGTCAGAATTTCTGGGGGTGTAAACCTGGAATTTGCATTTATAATAGACTTCTTTTTTTTTTTTTTTTTTTTGAGACAGAGTCTCGCTTTGTTGCCTAGGCTAGAATGAGTGCCGTGGCGTCAGCCTAGCTCACAGCAACCTCAAACTCCTGGGCTCAAGCAATCCTTCTGCCTCAGCTCCCAAGTGCTGGGATTACAGGCATGCACCACCATGCCCGGCTAATTTTTTCTATATATATTAGTTGGCCAATTAATTTATTTCTATTTATAGTAGAGACGGGGTCTCGCTCTTGCTCAGGCTGGTTTCGAACTCCTGACCTCGAGCAATCGCCCGCCTCGGCCTCCCAGAGAGCTAGGATTACAGGCGTGAGCCACCGCGCCCGGCCTTATAATAGACTTCTTAATGATGCTCATGTGCCTTCCAATTTGAAGATCCCTAATTTAAGACACTGAGTTTTTTCCTCCCCATTGGTCTTTTGAATACAGAAGGGCCTTTTGAGTCAGGTGTTTTTCTTTTTCTTTTTTTGAGGGGAACAAAGTCTCACTCTGTTGCCCAGGTTAGAGTGCCATGGCATCAGCCTAGTTCACAGCAACCTCAAACTTCTGGGCTCAAGCGATCCTCCTGCCTCAGCCTCCCTAGTAGCTGGGACTATGGGCATGTGCCACCATGCCCAGCTAATTTTTTCTGTTTTAGTTGTCTGGCTAATTTCTTTCTATTTTTAGTAGAGACGGGGTCTTGTTCTTGCTGAGGCTGGTCTTGAACTCCTGACTTCAAGTGATCCTCCCGCCTCAGTCTCCCAGAGTGCTAGGATTACAGGCGTGAGCCACCATTCCTAGCCAAGTCAGTGGATATTCTGGACCCCTCTTCTGTCTTATACATACCCCTGAAGATTAGGGTTGTCATAAATTACACTTGACGTTGACTGAAGCTGCCCTTAATGCCTCTCCGGGCCTCCTGATCTCTTGCAAACTTCTTGAGATGTTTTAGGTCTTTTGCCTTTTTTTCTAGTGGGTTTTCCTCTGACCTGTGAGCAAAACAAGATCAAATTTAGGGGAAGTTGTTTTTTCTATTTCATAAACAAATGGGGACATATAAGAAGACAGCTTTGTTTTCAGCTTTTACTTTTTTTTTTTTTTTTTTTTTTGAGACAGAGTCTCGCTTTGTTGTCCAGGCTAGAGTGAGTGCCGTGGCGTCAGCCTAGCTCACAGCAACCTCAAACTCCTGGGCTCGAGCAATCCTACTGCCTCAGCTCCCAAGTAGCTGGGACTACAGGCATGCGCCACCATGCCGTAATTTTTTTTTTATAACATATCAGTTGGCCAATTAATCTTTCTATTTATAGTAGAGACGGGGTCTCACTCAGGCTGGTTTTGAACTCCTGACCTTGAGCAATCCGCCCGCCTCGGCCTCCCAGAGAGCTAGGATTACAGGCGTGAGCCACCGCGCCCGGCCTCAGCTTTTACTTGTTGCACTGAGCGGAGTATCTAGGTGCTAGCGTGTAGCCAGAGAATGGGGCAGAATCTGGCGCCAGGGAAAAATGATGGATTAATGCTGGTTACAGTGACCTAGAGCCAGAGTTGTTCGTATCTTATGGGCTGTGGACCCCTTGAATCTGACAAGAGCTGTAATCCTCTCCCCCAAGTGCTCAGCACCCACAGTTTCAGATGCAGTGCTGAGGAGTCAGAGTCCTTCCTGAAGCAGACCACATATGGGTTAATGAACTGCAAGCAGGGCCTGGGACCCAGCCTCATGTCTCTTTTCAGCACTGAGTAACAGTCACAGGGCATGTCAGTCCTCGGGACCTCTCTAGGTCATCGAGTGTCTAATTCTCACCCTCAGAACCCCAGAATCTTCTTTTTTTTTTTTTTTTTTGAGACAGAGTCTCACTTTCTTGCCCAGGCTAGAGTGAGTGCCGTGGCGTCAGCCTGGCTCACAGCAACCTCAATCTCCTGGGCTCAGCGATCCTACTGCCTCAGCCTCCCTAGTAGCTGGGACTACAGGCATGCGCCACCATGCCCGCTAATTTTTTATAGAATATTAGTTGGCCAATTAATTTCTTTCTGTTTATAGTAGAGACGGGGTCTCGCTCAGGCTGGTTTTGAACTCCTGACCTCGAGCAATCCGCCCGCCTCGGCCTCCCAGAGTGCTAGGATTACAGGCGTGAGCCACCGCGCCGCCCGGGCCCCAGAATCTTCTTTATGTTCAGGTCTCCTACTCTGTGCAGGTTGAGCGCATCGAGAAGAGATGTCTGGAGCTGTTTGGCCGAGACTACTGTTTCAGCGTGATTCCAAACATGAATGGAGACATCTGTGGCCACTACCCCCGGCACATCGTGTTCCTGGAGTATGAGAGTTCTGAGAAGGAGAAAGATACGTGAGCATCACGCGACTGACCATAGTGTGCCTATCTGGGGAGGCCTGGCAGGGCAGACTTACTTTCCCCATTTGTTAAGCCTCGTTGGCATCTTTATTTCCTTTCAGGACTGGACAAGTTAGATTGGTAAGGTGGCAGCTCGTAGATGAGGTGTTGGGAGTCACAGCCCTGGATTTCTCTGTCACTTCCACCCTAGAACTCATTGTCCTAAGACAGCTCACTTCACACTTCACCTTTCTGAATGAACATCAGTGTCCTTTTAGAGTGTGGGTGGGATGTATGCTGTGTTAAGACAGGCTTAAGAGTGGTTCCCATAGTATCACTTAAGCACCCTATGGTCTAGAATCCAGACTGCTTGAGTTTACATCTTTTTTTTTTTTTTTTTTTTGAGACAGAGTCTCACTCTGTTGCCCAGGCTAGAGTGCCATGGCATCAGCCTAGCTCACTGCAACCTCCAACTCCTGGGCTCAAGCAATCCTCCTGCCTCAGCCTCCTGAGTAGCTGGGACTATAGGCATGAGCTACCATGCCCAGCTAATTTTTTTCTATATATATTTTTAGTTGGCCAATTAAATTCTTTCTATTTATAGTAGAGATGGGGTCTCGCTCTTGCTCAGGCTGGTTTCGAACTCCTTACCTTGATCGATCCACCTGCCTTGGCCTCCCAGAATGCTAGGATTATAGGCATGAGCGACTGCACGGGCCTTGAGTTTACATCTTGGCTGCCCCACTTGCTGGCTGTGTAACTGATGCTCGACACGTCATTTAACTTCTTTGTCCTTAGTCTTCTCATTGGTAATTCTCTACTTCATGTTGATTAGTCCTTTAAGGACTAATTAAAATTCTAGAATAATGGCTAGTGCAGTCCTGATGATGAATGTTGCTGATATAAGCCTGTGACATGTTTACTGTAAGAATTAGTAAGAGCTACCATTTATTGAGAGCCTATGAGGCCCGAGTGCTTTCTCTGGAATAACAGTTCATACCAGAGCAAACACCAAGCATCTGGTGCAGGGTGTGGCCCATAGGTAGTTAGTAAATGGTGGTAGTAGTTTGATACTAATAGCTAATCACAGCATTGAGGCCCCAGGAAATACTTTATGTTGATCCCCAAGTTTGTACCCCTAGTCTCCCTGCTTGCTGCTGATTTTAAGGAAGTTCCAATAGCTGTTGTCAACATTATGTGTGAAATCCTGGCCCTGAGGATGGACTGTTGTGATAAGTGCTACAGTAGAGTCAGGCTGCAAATTTTCAGCAGCCCCTTGCTACTGCAGGGCCATCATTGCTCCTAATAACTGTTAGCAACTCAAATTCTAAGGCTCCAGAGCCACTGAATTAGAGTCACAGTGTCACAAGATACCCAGGTGATTCCAGTGCACTTTAACTGCTGTAGGCAAACCGAGGAGAATGGTTAATTCTGCCTGGGGTGTGTGTGTGTGTCTTTTTACTTAAGTAAGTTAAAAGCCAGAGCCTTTTGAGCTGGAATTTGAGGGATTAGAAGAGTTTCCCTGAAGTGTCCTTAGGGACCAAGTTTTAATAGTATAGGGTCTTGGCTGGGCGTGGTGGCTCACGCCTGTAATCATAGCACTCTGGGAGGCAGAGGCGGGAGGATTGCTCAAGGTCAGGAGTTCGAAACCAGCCTGAGCAAGAGCAAGATCCCATCTCTACTAAAAATAGAAATAAATTAATTGGCCAACTAAAAATATATAGAGAAAAAATTAGCTGGGCATGGTGGCTCATGCACATAGTCCCAGCTATGCGGGAGGCTGAGGCAGGAGGATTGCTTTTGAGCCCAGGAGTTTGAGGTTGCTGTGAGCTAGGCTGATGCCACGGCACTCTAGCCCAGGGCAACACAGTGAGACTGTCTCAAAAAAAAAAAAAAAAAAAAATAGTATAGGGTCTTGATCTTCAAGCCAAGGAGTGTGGCCTTGTGGATTGTGTATGGGTGTCAATGTGCCAGTATCTCCTGAGCACTTATTAAGATTATAGGTTCTAGGGCCCCTCCTGGGCCTTCTGAATCAGAATTTCTAGAATCTATATTCTCAAAAGAGTTCCCTAGATGTCTTGCATATATCATAGCTTAAGAACTGCGGCAGCCACTGGGAGCCAGAGAAGGCTTACATGCAAAGGAACAACCAGGTCAGAGGAGTTTGAGGAATAAGCTTTAGTTTCCTCATCTGTAAAGTGAGGAGTGCCCTTCTCACCAGGTTATAATGGGGTTCCCTAAGAAAATGGATACAATGACTCTTGTATGTGGATTTTTTTTTTTTTTTTTCTGAGACAGAGTATCGCTTTGTTGCCCAGGCTAGAGTGAGTGCTGTGGAGTCAGCTTAGCTCACAGTAACCTCAAACTCCGGGGCTCAAGCGATCCTCTTGCCTCAGCCTCCCCTGTAGCTGGGACTACAGGCATGCACCACCATGCTCGGCTGATTTTTTTCTATGATTAATTAATTTCTTTCTATTTATAGTAGAGACAGGGTCTCACTCTTGCTCAGGCTGGTGTCGAACTCCTGACCTTGAACAATCCGCCCACCTCAGTCTCCCAGAGTGCTAGAATTACAGGCTCGAGCCACCGCACCTGGCCTGTGGATCTTAAAAATTGTATGACATCTTCAGTTGTATATAACCTAAGAACTCCAGGGCTCTCTAAGCCTATAGAATTGGGTTTTTTTGTGGCTCCCTTATTTATAGTACTTAAAGTTTTCCAGCGGCAAAAGAAACAGACAGGGAGAGAGACGGGGCCAAACAACGTAGGTTTATTGAGCACTCCCTGGTGAGGTTCGCGGGTCCCAAGAGAGGGGGGCCTGAGAAGTTACATCCGTTTGGAGGGGGTGTGGGCCTTTATATTGTTTGGGGTTGGGCTAGGGACTTTTGGCCGGAAGAGCTGGTGGTTTTCTACTGTGACCTTCGGCGGTTATTGAGAAATAGGAGGGGCTGGCAGTATTTACGGAATCCGGGAACCGAAAACTTTCTTATGTGGGTGGACATCCAGGGGTTGTTGTCTTCTTCGGGGCCTGGCAGTTGTCCTTGGTGGGTCTGGTCTCATGAGCCTTTTCTTTTTTATCTAGGGAGGGGAGGGAGGCCCGCCACCAGCCTTACACTTAACTCTTCCTAATTCCTTCTTCCAGAGTTAGGTAAACTTACTTTCTGCAAATCTTTAAGCTAAAGTTTCTAAACAAAGAATTCTTTTTTAGCCTTGCCACTCCTTTTCTACCCTCTTCAGTGCTGGCAGGTGGTTTTACCTCCTTGTCCTTATAGCATTTTGATATTAGGCTTAGATGTAGTCAACGTGGTCCTTCTCTACCTTGACTTTGTAAGTGAATCACCTAGGATCTTGTTATAATGTAGAATCTGATTCAGTAGATCTGGGAAGGGGCCTGAGATTTGGCATTTTCTAACAAGCTCCCAGTTGATGCCACACTGCCCTTTAGTAATGGTGCATTGAAGAACTCAGTCTTGGTTGCCTCACAGAAGCTTTTCATGGAAGGAAACAAGTTCAGTGTTGATCCCTTAAAGAGAAGGAAGCTAACATTTGTTGAGTGCCTGCTGTTTGGCAGGTGTTACGGTTTCACACACTAGTTTACTTAAATCCTGCAACCCACTCAGTGAAGAAGATACTATTACCCCTATTTTACAAAGTCAAAGCCCAGAGAAGTATCATGCCTTTGTCCAAGATCACTGAGGGCTGCAGTGGAGTGGGTTAAAAGCCAGGTTTCCTGATTTTACTCTGTCCACCTGTTTGCCTTTTCTTCCTTTTACCACCACGGCTCCCCTGCCTTGTCTAGTAGTGCCTCATCTTCCAGGCCGGGGCCACTGCAGAACATCCTTAACCCTAGAGGAGTTATTGGAGTTTGTTTTTACTTTCACTCCTTGCAAGGCCGTGAAGTGTTATTGAAGTGATAGATGCCTATTTGTTGAAGGAAAGGGAGCTTTGGTATGTTTGGGTGGGAAGTGATAGAATTTTTCGCCTCTACGTAGCTTGCTTGGGTGTTACTGATGACACTATTTGGTCTGAGTTTAAAAAGGTAGAACTGGATTCAGGAAGTGGTTTTGTCCTGTTAATGAACCTTCCCAAATCTGCCCATCCTCTGGGAATAGAAGCCTGGACAAAGATCAGTGAATGGCCAAGACATATTTGTCAACAAGTATTCATTGACTTGTTGCTATATATGGTAGACTCCAGGGATCCAGTTGGAAGCCAAGTAAATGAAGTATTGTTTTTTTCTCTCTGAGACAAGAGTCTCACTCTGCCCAGGCTAGAGTGCCGTGGTGTCAGCCTAGCTCACAGCATCCTCCAATTCCTGGGCTCAAGCTGTCCTTCTGCCTCAGCCTCCCAAGTCGCTGGGACTACAGGCTTGCATCACCATGCCCAGCTAATTTTTTCTACATATTTTTTAGTTGGCCAATTAATTTCTTTCTATTTTTAGTAGGGACAGAGTCTCGCTCTTGCTCAGGCTGGTCTCAAACTCCTGAGCTCAAATGATCCTCCCAGTCCGGGCACAATGGCTCACGCTTGTAATCCTAGCACTCCGGGAGGCCAACTTAGGTGAATTGCTGGAGGTTAGGAGTTCGAAACCAGCCTGAGCAAGAGCAAGACCCACGTCTCTACCATAAATAGAAAGAAATTAATTGGCTAACTAATATATATAGAAAAAATTAGCTGGGCATAGTGGCGCATGCCTGTAGTCCCAGCTACTCGGGAGGCAGAGGCAGAGGGATTGCTCGAGCCCAGGAGTTTGAGGTTGCTATGAGCTAGACTGACGCCACAGCACTCATTCTAGCCTGGGCAACTAAGCGAGACTCTGTCTCAAAAAAAAAAAAAAAGATCCTCCTGCCTTGGCTTCCCAGAGTATTAGGATTACAGGCATGAGCCACGGCACCCGGCCTAAGTGAAGTCTTTACCCCTAGGTCTAGTGGATACAGAGACAAATAAATAAGCAATAACAGTATAACAAAAGCCAGAATTAGGGGAAGTACAATTAAGGCATTGGGAAACGGTGA